GTATGTATGTATGTATGTATGTATGTATGTATGTATGTATGTATGTATGTATGTATGTATGTATGTATGTATGTATGTATGTATGTATGTATGTACATGTACCGCACCCGGTAGGTCTACATGCACAGAGCCCACAATAATAATGAATCAATGAATCAATGAAGGCCAGACAATATCCGTACCAGGTATGGAGGTGGTACGTGGTAATGGTAACTGTACAGTATGTACATGCGCGGTACGTATTAAACAACCACCACCCGGCAAATTGATGAATGAATTAATTAAAACACGCTCCTTGGCAGCCGTAGGGCCAAAGAAGAACGCGGCAGGGTAATGGGGTGATAGGGTGATACCGTGGGCAGGGTGGAGCGGAGTGACGCTCTCGCAAAAAGCCACAACAAAGCACTCGATACTTCGTACGTACAGTACAGTACAGTAGTACAGTCGTACTCCGGAATCGATCGCTCTTTGACGGCTGGTAAATTGCAGCCGGTGGTTGGTAAACATCCGTAGAGTGGGCAGGTATACTGTAAAGAAGAAACATATAATAAGATATATCCACTTCCAACTTCCAACTTCCAACTTTCACAAAACTCCCCACCTGCTATTATTATTATTGTGCTGTGCTATGGTACTACAGCACAGTACGTATATGTACAGTGTACTTCGCACAACACCTCACTACTACTCATCACCCTAATAATCTCAGACTCTGCCCCTGACAGGACGGGCGCTAGGAAGGTCCCGGCTGGCTCGATTAGCGGACTGGGCGGCCACTGAGCGGTCGCTAAATGCCCGCCGTGGCGCTGGAGGACCACTAAACATCCACCACAAGCCCGCCCTAAGAGACCCCCGATCGCCCTTTCATTTCCGCCTGGGCGCCTGATTATGACTTACTTTTTCGTGCACTTACGGAGTACAGTGGGGAGTGAGTCTGTTTCTTGGACGGCGCAATAATTAATCATTAATGATTCATGATTCATCGTTTTATTTCATGCTTCTTCTTTCCCCCTTCTCCAAGGTGGCAAGCAAAGCTGGTGGTTGGAATGAAAACTCTTCCCAATAATTAATACCGGCCCTCATATACATACCTACATATATCCATGCACCCGGTGCTTCGACTCCGTCCCTGAGCAGTCAGCAAATAATGAGCACATAACATGTACAGTGCAGTGCAGTCTCTGTACTTCCCCAAATTCCCGCACTGCCTCATTCACGGATAAACTCTTTCTCCTCTTTAATCAATAATCCAATAATTCCACAATCAATCGATCGATCAATCAATCAATCAATCAATGAATCAATCACATCATCTCTCCTCCCAACCACGCTTCTGTAATTGGACCCTACCATCCACCCCATTCAGAACCTCCAACATTTCCCCCTTCCTTCTCCTCCCCCAATCCAGCCTCGACAAACATAACAACCGCTATGGGCACGACCACCACCACCACCACCAAATCAGAAAAATGTTCCGACCAGCCCTCTTTGAGAATGCGTGTTGTGTGTGGACCTAACTGGTACAGCACATAGCTAACCCACTTTCAGCCCCCCGATGCTGCGCGATACTGTACAAAGACAAGCCCCGCGCCAGCATTTCATTATTTGCTAAATATACACGGGAGTACGAGGTATGAAGTAATCCCCGGCGCTTTGCTCGACGCCTCAAACGTCAAAGAGAAGACGAACCTTTCGTCCAAGCAACGCTGCTGGCTGGACTGGGCTGAATCGGGCACCCACTGGCGATAGATCGGAGACAAAGCTCGTGGTAGCCCGACGTATTACAAGTATATTCATAGGTACCTTAAGGTACCTTAATTAGGTACAAGGACACACACGGCAACGGACATCGGCAGGCAAGGACTCCGGATATTCAAACAAACATCTGTCGACGACTGACTCTACCTTGCGGGCGGATCGGGGATTTGCAGAATAGGTGTGATGTGGCAGCATTGCATAAGCATTTGCTGGTAGTAATGATCATAACAAAATCGTAGGAATTTCTTATCACAAGGAGATATGCCGCCCGGAACGAGTTGAAGATATCTCAGCTATCGCCTAGTGAGCCACCACAGCAGGCGTGACCGTTGTATTCATTTCGACACATCTATTTCATATCGCTCAAGCAACTCAGACTTGGAGGGACGAGAAATCTTTACTACTCCGTAATTGCCCCCGACGCAGTCTCGGGAGATGAATTCAATTAATTCCCCAAAAAAAAAATCCCCGTACCTGCCTTAGCTACCAACATCGTCTCTCCTCCTCTGGATCCCAACATCCATTCTCTCTCCAACCATAATATTAATCCAACATGGCATCAACCCAACGCCAACACCAACGGCATTAATGAACAATCTCACCCAAGATTGCAATCATACTGCTTACTCCATAGTGTAACATACCTATTGGTCGGCAATCTTCCCGACTGCACGGTGCAGCTTACAATCTAGAACATTACCATCAAGCATTCAGATTCCCCTCCGGAAGATCGTCGAAACCACTTTTATTATTTCCGTACCTATGTTATGCCTCCCTCCTTCTCTTCCTAATCAACTTCCAGAAAACACCTTCTTCCGGTTCTTCCTTCCTCCACATTTCCCCATCCGAACCCCAGCCATAACCACCCCCCGGCCAGGGCACCATAACACCTCAGCCTCACTCACTTTCCGTCCGGCCCTACTTCTGCTAATCGCGAAACATCATCCCCTTCGCATTAACTTACCCATTGTTTCACCAGAACCGCCTGTCTAGAACAAACCGCCCTGCGTAAATTCCTATACGGGATATGCTCCGGACTGTTTTCTCTGTTGAGGGTAGTGGAGATGGGTGGTTGTTTCATCCTGTTTTACCGAAGGTGCCTGGGCTTGTAAGAGAATCTACCACGCAAGGTACTCCGTACCTAGGCGCAGGTACCTAGGGTGCAGTGTAGAAATATTTAGCATCAGCCTTGTTGTGAAGGACTGCCTAGTCTTGGAAGAACCCATGATGAGAATTATTTTGGGGAAATAACACAAACATGCAGGAACTGTTGTTTCCATGTTTTTTAACGCGTTTCCGGGTTCTCAGCTTACTTGTAAGGAAGGGAGCGGAGATGAGATGAGAAAGCCCGGGAGTTCATTTAATCACGTGACCCTCTTACAAAGTATTGTGATTTAATTTCAATTATATCAAAGTATCATAGAGCTTGTAAGATGGTAGTAATCGCATTCCATGAGATAATATGAAAGGGATGGAGAGCTATAGTAACTACAGGTGGGTGGAGTGAGCCTAGGCTGGCTCTGGAGACGTTCTCTATGCCTGATTTCGTAGGCTTCTTACTGCCCCTGTTCGTATGTCAGGTGATGTCTCATCATGTGACTGACCGACAATGCTCTGACAACTTATGCGTGCGTGCATAAAAGATATGCCCTTCAATGGTCCCCAATACTTCTCACAATTCCTCCATTCAATCTGATCATCCGAGATTTATGTATTTCCACAAAATATGCCATATTTTACACTTTGCAATCGGTGGGTTTATTTATACATACCCTTATT